TGGAATCAGCTCTAGTCACCCTGACGTGTCCAGAATGCGTAAACCCTTTATTTGAACAATTATTAAGAGAAATTCCTTTTGACGCGCCTCTTAAAGATGTTATGAATAAATTATAACAAGCTGAATTACTAGAACCAGTTTATACTCCTGTTCCCATGCAGTTAGTAGAAAAATCAGTAAAGGATAAGAAATTTACTCATAAGCCTGTGCCTACTATGGAAGGGCCTCCTTTTGTGGCCTAGTGGATAAATAGAAAACTCTGGTATCCACCTAGCGGGGCTAATAGTATGAAAAGATTACCTGATCTTCCTTTGCCTTATACAGGAGCTTATAATAAAGATAGTATACATATAGTGAATAAAGATGGAATTCATGTGCCTTATAGTAGTTTAAGTTTCATAGAAAGGCTGGCTAGGTCAGGCCCTCCTGGGTGCTTAAAAAACAAAGGAACAGAATCTTAGCTTATGAAAGCAGCTTTGTAAAACTGATTTTTATAAATATTTTCCTCATTACTGTACCAAGGAAACTTTTGAACAGCTATGAGAAAGGTTCAGCTTGAACTTTAGATATAGCATAAATCAAATAGCATTTAAAAGGTTTCTTCAGGCAGAAAGAAGAACAATGTCTGCCCACAAGCCAATGCTTGCTGTTATGAATACCTCTATCTATCACCTTTACTTAAATCAAACTGTATCTAACATAATAGATATAAGAATTAAAAGTTTAGATTGTTCCATCAGGTAGTTCTGTTCTAATGATTGAGAGAAAAATGTACTAGTTAATCATGAATATTAATAATAATATACTCTATAAGATTTTCTGCTTCGCCTAACCACAGAAATTTAACTCCCTGCTACCTTAACCACAAAGTATAATCAAATGCCAAAATAAAAAGTATAAAAGTTGTACTCAAATCACAATAAAACGGAACAGTGTCACACCGCCTCTGAGTTGTGTAGTCGACTGTCTCCCACGCCGACGCCTTGCCCACCTTCGGGGCCCCCTGGATGGCTGGACCGCGGCAATTTTTATCTTGTCTATTAAGGTTACAGAGTGGCTATGTCTGATGTTGATGTTTTGTAAGATTGTTTATGTTCAATAGAACACTCAGACCTAGCTGAGAATACCAGTGACACCAAGGCCTAGGTAATAGTTCCAGGCCAGATTCTAGCTGTTCAGGCTGTTTTCCTTTTTCTAACGAAGCCATCAAGTGCTATAATTATCTCTAAATAGCAATTTATAACTTACTCATAATTCTGTTTCCTGAATATTTAGAATATTATCAGAGTTATTACTTCGGGTTATGAATTCTAATACTCATAACAGCTCTGGTGATGGTAGTAGTAGCTTACTTTATTATTACTAAAATATATAAGATCCTCTGCTACATGCTGTGGTAAAGAGAAAAACAGCCACCTCCTTGTGGCTGAAAGAATCTGGAATTCTAAGTTAAGAACTAGTGCTGTGAGTTTTGGAAACCACTTCAAAAGTCTCAGTCACTTGCCTCATCTCTGAAACAAGAAGTTAGATTTACATGTAGTTCTGATAGGCTTGCATAGTGTCAGGCTGTCTCTGCAGTAATTGCATGGGTTGCTTGTTAAAATCAGGTAGAGATGCTAGGGCTCCGACATCAGAGTCTGATTCAGCTTAAGTTTTTGAGATTCATCCATGACGTTTTCTTTCTTCTTTTTCTCAATTGCTGAGCAGTATTCCACTGAATGAATATACCAGTTTATTTATGCATTCTCTACTAATGGACATCTGGGCTCTTTGTAGATTTTGGTGATCACAAATAAAGCTGCTATAAATATTTTTGTGCAAGTCTTTTTGTGCATAAATGCTTTCATTTTTCTTAGATAAATACCTATGTTGAATTGCTAGGTCATAGTTTTTAATTTATATGAAACTAATGAGTCCATGATTTTACAAAAAGTAATAAAAAAGCTTAGTACGCCTTCTCCTTTTGTTCAAAGTGTGGCCTGGTAGAGATGGCAAAGAATGTGTTACAAGGCCTCGGGCAATCTCCTTTACTCCTAACCTCCTGTCTGTAGGAATGCAGCTCTGGGGCCATGAAAGATCTCTTTACAGCAGGGGTCCCCAACCTCCAGGCCACAACTGGGTAGCGGTCTGGTCCATGGCCTGTTAGGAATCCAGCCACACGGCAGGAAACTGAGCAAAGCTTCATCTATTTTTGCAGCAGCTCCCCAGCCCTAGTATCACTGCTTCAGCTCTACCTCAGATCATCAGGCATTAGATTCTCATAGGAGCCTCGATCCCTGGTGCCAAAAGGTAGGGGACAGCTGCTCTACAGCCAGAGGGATGAAAGCTACGTGGATAATATCTGTAGGTAAATGTAGTTTCTTTCGGTAGTGTACTTTATAGATGATAAAGGTACATAAAATCTTTTGGTAAATCTTTGCCTCTAGGTTTCTTGGAATTCCATCTCACTGTGATTAAGCTCAGAAAGGGAGATCTCTGAATGTTGGCAGACCTAAAATAAAAGTCATTCTTGGCAAAGGGGTCAGTATCACCTAAGGTTTGGTGGTATGTTTGAGTGAAGGCTGGGTGAGGTTGGCCACTGTGATGGGAAAGTCACACAGGCTCCAATAATGATCTCTAAGCTGATGGGCCTTGAATCTTGCAATATCGCTTCCTCAGTTCTCTCAAGTTATCCTTAGTAGCTTTTTAAACACGTGCAACTTTCCTTCCACCCTTCAGCAGGTAACCAGGCTCCACTTAAAGGAAAACAGAGACAATTTGAAAGAAACTTTCACTTTCTTGCCAGAAACACCCATTTATTTGTATCCATTTCCATCAGCTCTTTCCTTATTTCTTCCCATCACAGCAGACAGAATCCCTCCTAAGGTACTTGCCATTTCATCTTCTCCAGGGCCTTGTTGTTTTATCTCTTATCATCTTATCTCCTCCTTTATAATGGATCATTTCCCATTGCTAAGCCTCTTCTAATTTCTCTCTTGTGAAAGCTAACCTCTCAACACTAGGTACTGCTCTAGTTATTGCTTTATCTCTCTGGTATCGTTAGTGTCAAACCTTCTAAAGAGTTGTCTGCAAAGCCTATTTTCTTTCTCATCTAGGTCATCAGATCTGTCTAGAACCATTTCATATACAGTAGGCACTGTGCAATCATTCAAAAAATATATGATGGATAAGTTGACTCCAAGGGTGCAGACTTTATACAGTCATCCATAGCTTATAGCCTGGGATGTTGGTTGACTCACTGGGTAGAGTAACTATCTGGTGTGTATAGGTAATTTGATATGCTTTCATTCTGAAATAAAGTTATGGTTTAGTCAGTAGTCTGCCACAAAGTATGAAAACAAGTAGAGAAACACAGCAGTGCAGCACTACTAATTAACCCCTCCGTAACACCACCACCAGTGTGCACCACCCGAGGGCCACGCCTGTGCCACTCCACGGGGAAGTTAGCCTGGTAGCCAGGGCGGCCTTCCGGCGGAACCCTGTTTACGGCTAAGTAGCCATGGTCTCCCAGTCCGGGGCGGGGGGCTGAGGTGAGGGGAAGAGCCCAGCGGCTCCCGGCCAATGGCAGTTCTTGAACTTACACCTACAGACGTCAGCGCGGCTGTGCAAACGGATGTCACACAGCTGGCTCGGAAGCGTCTCCTCCCGCCCCAGAAAAGGGGCGTGGACCCAGCTGCCGCCGCGAAACCTTGGGCGACAGGAGGGGCGCGCGCCGCCACCCCAGGGTCCCGCGCCCTCGCCTGCCCGCTTCTCATCAGTCCCTGCCTAG